CTCTCTCTCTCTCTCTCTCTCTCTCTCTCTCTTTAATAGTATAGATTTCTAATAATCCATATTATAAATTAAATTTTTACATAGATGTTTAATTATATATTATATATATATATATATATATATATATATTAAAACACATTAATAATATTATTAAGAAACGTATTTTATTTCACGGACATTGATTAAGGCTATTAATTTGATTGAGGCTATATTTCCAGTAATCTGGTACAATGCTCAACATGGGAAGTATTTCACCGTGAGAAAAAAAGGATTGGCGGAGACATTCTCTAGCAGTTGATGCATTATCCACGACAGATAGCGTCATGGCAAATGTCGATACCTTTTCACGAACTAAGTCGCGTATCTTCTTTTTTCTCCTTTTGCTGGCTCTTACATACCATCTCTTCTTTCACTTCTTTCCTCTTCCGGAGTAGAGAAAAAGAACTCGGTATTTTCCGAGTGTGCCAATTTAATTGATGTCAATTTTCGATCTTCCACAACATTGCAATTTTTAAGTTTTAAAATCGCAATATAAAGATGATACAAATAATACAAATTTTAATATAACTATGTAAATCAAATATACAAATATTAAAAATTGTTAAGCATAATTAAACTTAATTTTACAACTAAAATTCAATTGTCAATCTTGTTAATTAAAAAAATTGATCTTAAAATAAATTATCTTAAAGAAATATAATATCTAATTTATGCTAAAGTTTATTTCAATTTTTTTCAAAAAAGTTGCATTGATTGAAAAAGCAGAAATAACTAATAATACATGTGTATAATTTACATTAAAATTAATTAATAAATAATAAAATATTCAATCATATTGAAATTAATTTCCGAGCAAAGTTTGAATATAACAAACTAAACACGAAGCAGTTTCACAGATTAGTTAAACTTTGTTTTGTACAGTAAACGCTACGTAAGCATACATTTACGTAGAACAAGGGTTATAGCAGCCTAAACATCAAAATGATTCTATACATATTGTTAAAATTAATATTAATGGAGATATTGTTTTATAACATTATTGTTTTTAAATATATAACTTTTATACTTATATATTAGAAAGAATATAATTTCAGAATAAACATAATATGCAATTATTTTATTTGTACATTGTTAAAAAATAAGTAAAATTTTTATGTAAATCTTTGAGATAAAGAAGAATATTGCGTATACAAACTGAAATTGAAGACACGCTCGTAAGAAGGATAGAGTCGTCAAAGCTCAAGAAATTGAGTGGAATGCTGCCATGAATTAACCATCTCACGTATGTTATATATATGTAGCGAAATGGTTTAACATCAAGATAGCTTCTTTTGAAGAAATACGGAACCTGAGAGATGTTATATGTTTTATCAAGCCAGACTAGCAACCTTTGATAAAGTGCAAAAAATGGGTCAAAACCATCAATGCATACTATATTGACTATACGTATATTATGATATACATGAGATTTTTATTAGACATATGTGTTGTCCGCAAACACGGAAAAAATTTTATAAAAATTGTAGCGGAACAGCGCTAGAATCGTTCATGTCGAACATGTATATTGGACATCTAAGATAAACTCTCGTTCGTGCGATCGAATCAAATTTTGGAACGTTAAGTCTCGCGGAATACGATAGAAAAACACGACATCTCGAGAACGCCGAGTAATATCTGCGCGTTGGATTTTTCAGATCCTTCGCCTGTCGCCCTTTTAATGCAGCCGTCAATCTCCCGTGTCCTCATCCTGACCAGAATTCCGACCTGTGCGAGGTCTTCTCACGAATATCATGCGTCAAAAACCACTTTTAACGTAAAAAAAAAAACTAGAGACTTAGAATGCGGGACGCAGAATGCGTACAATATTAAAATTCATTCTGTATTTTGCTTTACTTATTATTTTTATCATGCACGATATCTCCCAACTTGTCTCCAAAAATAACATAAATTCAAAAATGATTTTTTAAAATATGTATTTGTAATTTCGGTTCAGTTTAAATTCTTTCCGTTAAAACGCAATATGCAAAATTGCAAAAATAATCACAGTGCTTTTGTAGATGGAAATTCAGGCATTTTATACTACATGTTAATCATGTTTGAGATTAAAAAAATTTTTTTTTGTTCAAGAGAGACACAATGCATTGAAACCTTTTTTTTTTTTAAATAAATAACGTAGTTTATGGAATATTTATACGAACAACTATTAAGCATTGCATACCTTTCCGTTTATAAATATAACCGACGAATGCTCATCCGTGCGCTGGTCTTTTCTAGCAAAATCTAATTACACATCTTGTTTCGCAAATTTTTCATTACCAACATGAAATATTCTAACAATATGGTCTCAACTCTCTGTGAATTTACATTCCGTTTTCGATATACACAACTGTTCTAGTGAAACATACTTTACTGCACACAGCATGACGCGTTGATCGATTTTTATAATAATGCTAGGACACACACACAAAATAGGACGAATTGTAAATAGACAGTTTTATGTGGAAATGAGAGTTCGGCTCACAAAAGTAGAAAATATCAATTATGCGTATATGTAATCGGCAAGCTGAACCTCTATATTAAAAGGGTGATTGAAATAACATTCAAAATTGTATGCCATTCAGACGAAAATGGCAATTCAGTTTCAACAAACAGATCATTTAGCTCTACATAAAAACCAATCAAGCTTCGTATTCGCGTATCCATTTATTAGACTATTATTTCGATATTTTTAACTTGACAAATATTTGCATTAAAAAAATTTTTTACGTCTACACCTACGTGTTTGTTGTTCGTTATATTGCATTAAAATATCTCTGAAAACAATATTTATTTCAATTTTAAAACGCTTATTCGGTGAAAACGGATCTTGATATCTAATAATATTTTTTGTATGAATTTCACAAATTCCAGTTCAAGTAATCGACGCGCAGTTTATTTGTACTGAAAATTGTAAAATTCACTCAAAAAGTATTAGGTATTAGACACCAAGGTGTCCAAGACCCGCTTTGATTGAATAGGCGTTTTTATTATGTGTTTTATAAAGAAATATTAATATTTTAAAACGAAACGCATATTCTTCGTATTTTGAAAGAATATAATAACCACTACGCCGTATGTCTTTCGATTTAACTTTTCAACTTAATTCATTCGAAAATATTACTCGGTGAGTTAATTCATTTTCTGTGTAAGATTCATCCTCTGCGTAATATTTTATGAGCTAAAGCATGTATATCGCTTGGCGTTGATAACGCCACCGTCTTGTCGCCCATTTATTTCTATTTATCAAGCCGATTTAATTATGAATTCACTAGAGCTCGTTTATTTAAACGGAGACGCGTGTGCGAATAAACGCACGTGTGTAGCACCGATGTCGATAATCCGCCGGGTCGGCAAAGCCGCGAAAAATATTCCGCCGGCGTTTCCGGGATTCGCGCAGGGTATTCGGGACAATTTCAGGATATCCGCGGGATTCCCAGCTATCCCTGCGCCTTCCCGGGGATCCCGGCGTACGTGTTACGGAAGCAAACAGGTCGCTTAACAAGCCGGAAGAACAATAAAAATGCGTCACCTCATTAACCGCTCCCAATTAGTCGCGGAGTAACGTCGCGCAGCGCTTAATGCAACATGTACCGGGTGTCCCACTGAGTTGAGATGACATTATAAACATAGATTGTGAACCTTCTTTTATTTTTACCCCGTTACACTATATAATTATCACAGGATTAATGATCTAATTTTCTCTACATCCCGCAGCGCGCATATATATAACTTTTTATAATCTTCTTTTAAATAATTAACATATAAAAACTCTGTGCACGGTATTTAAAGGTGGTATTGTTTCTCTTTGGTTTGCGCCGTATATAAAGTATCATGCGTGTTGAGATTAGAATTACAGATTACATGTTACCAAAATTATATCCATTTTTTATTTATTATTCTCCTTTCAGAGTAATATAATAATAGTAATATATAACATGATCATTTTTTTAATATTATAATTATGTACATGATGTTTAAATATGTTTAAAAAGGAGACGAAATGTACAATAGAATAGACGTACGTTTATTATTTTGCAAAATATATGAATCGAATCCCTCGCGATTCGAATAGCGCTGA